CCACCCTCTCCCTTTTCCATGGGTTTCCTCCCTAGCAGTCAGTAAATGGTAGCTATGATTTCAATTATGATTACTAAACAATGATGCTTTCTGGAGTGTTCAAATGCCATCTTGTGGGTCCACCTGAGCAGGCGTAATTTTTATTCTTCTTCATAAAGTTTATCTGTCCACCATCCAGGCTTGGGTAATTTCAAGCTCTGAGTGTTTGTTAAATGTTCACATAAATAAATTTTCAAACCAAAGCAGAAAAAAAGTAGTAATTATTTATTATGAGGACTAAGCTCACCTAGCACTTACAGTGTGCTAGGCATTGCTTTAAGTGCTTGCCATGTATCAACTCCGTTAACTCCCCAAACTGCAAACAACCCCATGCTAGTCTGAATCCCACAAGAGATGGAGATGCCTTCACTAGGCCAGCAGCCATAACTTCTGGGCTGGAGAACATTCCATGGACATGAAGGGCTCATGTGTATCCCACTTGGGGGCAGAAAGGTTCAACTGAGGCAGGGAGATCCCAAAGGAACAAAAGAGGAGCTGGGAGTGCAGCTCAATGGCAGAATGCTTGTCTAGCATGCAGGAGGCCCTGAATTCAATCCCCAGGATTGCAAAATGAAACAAAACTAAACATAGGGCCAGGGATTTAGCTCAGTGGTTCCAGTGCCTGCCTCGCAAGCGCAAGGTCCCAAGTTCAATCCCTGGCACCAAAAACAACAACAACAATAATAAAACAAAACACAAAAATAAATAAATAAGTAAACAAATAAATGCATGCATGCTCAGTGCCAGGCCTTGAATCCTGCACTTGACAGGCATCATCTCCTTTTATTTTCCAGTTCAGGGATGGAATCCAGGATCTTGCACATGTTAGGCAAGTGCTCCATCAATGAGCTACATCCCTAGACATTTCAAATTTTATTTTGAGAAAAGGTCTTGCTAAGTTTCCCAGGCTGTCCTCAAACTTTCGATCAGCCTCCCCAATAGCTAGGATTACAGGTGTGTGCCTCTATGCCCAGCTAAGCATATCTCCTTATTCCTCATCACAATAATATGAAATAATAGCTAGAACTTAAAGTGCACTTGGTACGCGTCAGACACAGCATTATTGCTTTACAGGTGTTAATTCATTCAATTCTCTCAATGACTTCACTAGACTAGTAGTAGTATTCTGGTTTGTTTTATTTTTCTTATTTTCTTGGGCCTCTATTATTCTTATCTTCATTCTACAGAGTTGGAAACCGAAGCACAGTTCATAAAGGACACAGCAGGGTCAGATGCTGAGAGCCTGGGTCTACACTTTATGCATGTAACAGACTAGGTTGCTTCAAGCTTGGGGACTTGGCCCCCTACTCCATCCTTAAAAGACTAAAATCTGAATCAAAGCTCTTAGACACATCGGGTCTCCTTATGGAGCCTGGGAAAATCAGGGGTATGTGGCTGCTGTGGCGTGGGCAGGAACACAGGTCGGACCTAGCTGTTCCACAGAGGCTTGGGCCTCAGGTAGGACTGGGGGTCGGGTGAGAGGGAGGATTTAGGGTATGGGAGGTGAGGGGGTCCTGCCATGGCTGGGCAATTACGGTGAAGCTGTCAGAGGAGAGAGAGATCTGTAGGCAACAACAAAGCCTGAGGTCCAGCAGAGGGAGCACTGTGAGCAGGAGGCTCTGAGGGGTCGGGACAGGTTTAAGGTCCACGAGGTGAGGGGGTCCTGAAGCAAAGTAAGTGCACATGGGCATCTGGGTTTTTTGCAGGGCTGAGGATCTATAAGCTATTGAGAAGACGACCCAGTGTCTCCAAGAACCTCTGGAATCCTTTAAGAACCTCAAATGGGCCCCTGGAATATATACAGCCCCAGATTCTATTTGACACACGCTGGGTCTAAAGAATATAGGGATCAAATGGATCATGATTCTATAGAGATCAAATGGATCATATTTCTATAAAGTCGATGGAGCCTCTGGAGACTAAAAAGGGGAGCTGAATTCTACAGAGGTGTGTGATGGGTCTCGGGCCCGGGACTCTAGGAGATCTAAGAATTCCATGTTATAAGAAGGCAGATCCCAACGGGAGGCTAGCTGGAACCTGGAGGGTCTGTGAGACCTTGTAACCTATGTGGAAAGCGGCGGGTCTTCACGTACCCCAAATCTTACATGAGACGTGGCGGGTCTACACCGGCCCCAAGTCCTACAGTGGAAGTGGCGCTGTGCACAGCCGGGGATGACTTGCAGAGTCAGGGTCTTATGTCCGCCAGGGGCCGCGTCCCTCACCTGCTCCGGTGGGAAGAGAAGCCACTGCAGCCGCCAGAACCGAAGCCTCCGTTCGCGGGCTCCGGACTTCCCCACCCCTGCCGCCGAGTCTCTCTAGCTACCTCATAGTCTACCTTTGCACCCAGCTCCACTCCTCCCGCTCGCCGCTCTAGCGGGGCTCCTGCTAGGCTCCTACCCTGGCGACTCTACTCCTCCTCTGGCCTCTCTAGCGCTCCACTCCGCCACGCTGGCCAGATAGAACCGCTCTGGCCTGTCTAGGAGGGCCGGCGTTTCCGCATCTCGACTGCCCGTCACTCTTCCGGCCCCGCCCCCCTCCCCGGCCGGCGGCACAGAGGGTTCCTACCCCAATCAAGGCTCAATCCGAGATCTCCGAATTACTGCAACCCCAAATCTCCCGGTCTTGCGCTGAGGCTCGCCACATTATTCGCCTCCCCACCTCGGGGACCAGCTGAATCCCCAAAGCTCGTACGTCAATTCCCTCCGCAGCCCTGTCATCTCCTTCAACTGGAGCCGGAGAGCAAAACCTTGGGTTAGAGCGTACCTTTCCCTCTGACATCAAAGTAACTTCCAAACAAAAACCCAAGAAAATAAAAAATAATTTCTTCTCTCCAGGCCTCAGTCTTCCCACCTCTCTTCTCTAAGACCACTTCCCAGGGTACAATTAGTGACCCGAGGACAGCTTCCCCCCAAAAACGCATTCAATCGGGCGCAGTGGCTAACGCCTGTAATCCTAGCACCTGGGAGGCTGAGGCAGGAGGATCACCTTAAATTCGAGGCTAGCCTGGGCTACATAGTGAGTTCAAGGCGAGACCTTGTCTCAACAAAACAAAACAAAAACCCTTTCAAAAGTTCTCTGCAACTCAGCTCCACAGTTGCTCAGGGTCTTATTGTTTTTATTTTATGGAGCCCTAAAGCACTCAAGGTTGGGCTAAGAAGGAACCACCTGCGAGTTCAAATCCCAACTGCACACTGTCTCACGAAGTGTCTCCGTGGCGCGAGTCAGTTCAGGCTCCCTGGGCCTCAGTTTCTCCACCTGTACAATGGGTGTGAACACCCATTCGCCATCAAAGCAAGGAGAGGCTTGACCACGGCCTCGAACCATTCATCCCCACCTACTAGGTACTTGGCAAATGTTAATCACCTCTTTGCCACCTTAGACCGATGAGGAAACTGAGGCCCGCGCGGGGGGCGGTCGCTGGCTACTGGCCGCAGGAGGCCGCTCGGCTGCCGGCAGTGTCCCGGTCGCTCCCTCCTCCTCCCGCTTCCCCCGGCCGCCCGCCGAGGGGAGGAGGCCGGGCGGGGCCGGGGGCTGCGTACCTGGAGTCCGCGCCCAGAGGTGGCCGGCGGGGCGCCCGAGGTCGGGCTCGGCGATCCCGGCCCTGCGTCCCGGCTCCGGCTTCCTGGCTCGGCGGGGCAGGAAGTTGGGGCGTTTTTCCGGAGGCCCCCGCCCCGGCGCCCCTCCCTGCTTCCTGCCCGCGCCCCGCGCCCGCCCGGCACCTCCGCTTCCTTCCCCTTCTAGCCGCCCGCCGGCTCCTCCTTTCCCCGCAGGCACCGGCCCCGCCCGGCCCCGCCCGGCCCCGCCCGGCCCCCGCTTTGTCGGTCCGTCCGCGCACCGGCGTCCTCGCGTCCCCGGCCGGTGCGAGCGCCCGGCCGCCACAGCCTCCCTCGCTCCTTCGCTGCGCGCCCGCGCTACTCCTCCGTCTGCGTCCCTCAGCGTGGGCTTCGCTCCGGGTCCCTGTGCCCCACGCCCTTCCACGGGTGGGATCTTCCCCTCCTTGGCCTCTGCTGCTCTCTGCTCTTCCTCCTGCGTCCCTGGCTCCCTTAGAGCCCCTCTGTCCCCTACCCCAACTGCCACTTGCTTTCCCTCGGTCTCCAGGGTCAGCCCGTCCAGCTTCTTTCCTTCGCGGTCTCTCTGCGCCTCAGTCTCCATAGCTTGGTCTCTCCAATTCCGTCTCCCGACCCTCTCTCCGTTCACCTACTTTCTCTCCTTCGCTGTCTCTCAGTGTCGCTGCCGCCTCCTCCCTGTGCCAGTGACTCTTGTCACAGTGCCTGTCTCTCTGTCTCTGCACCGTCCCCAAATTAGAGCCACAGGCTCCAAATCCACCTCTGCAAATCTACCGGTCGGGTCGGGGAATTCAGTACCAGCCCTCAAGACAGTCCTGTTTCCACGGCTTAATACACATAAAATTTCTGGTGGTGCACGCCTGTAATCCCAGCATTTAGGAGGCTGAGGCAAGAGGATCTCTGCGAGTTCAAGGGAAGGCTGGGCTACATAGTGAATTCAAGGCCAGCCTGAACTATATAGCAAAACTCGATCTCAAACAAACCCCTTTTGGGCCGGGGATTTAGCTCAGTGGCTCCGCTGCCTGCTTCTCAAGCATAAGGTCCCGAGTTCGATCCCCGGTACCGAAAAAACGAAACAAAAAAACCCTTTTTTGGGTAGCCACAGCACCCCCTCCCCGCCCCCATTTTCTCCCTTTGCTTAGGGACACGGTGTAAGTGGAGCCCTGGAGGGGAGCCCTTCAACTGGGGTGGGGACTTCCCCAAGGGACTTCCTGGATATTTTTGTGTGGGGGGGACTAAGACTGGCTACTCCATCCCAGCTGGTGGGTGGGTAGGGGATGGCTTGGGCCCAGAATCTGGGGTTGGAAGGAAGAGACGGCTTAGGCTGGGACTCCTGGGTCCCAGGGAAGGACGGAGCCTGGTCCTCAGGAGATCCATGAGTCCTGCCAGGGTCTGCAGTCGGGAAGGATTTATTATCACTAAGTGGCCATGACAGATCTGGGGGGAGGGGGTGACACACGAAGGAGGCTGCTGCAATCAGCTCCCCTAGAGGCAGCGATTAAGGGCTCATTACCCACTGGGGAGGGAGCCTGGGAAAGACAACAGGGGGAGGACTGCTTTAGGTGGGGATTGGGACACTCCAGGGGGAAGGAAGCTCCCAGGGAGGAGGAGAGGGAGAGTTCCTGGTCAGTGAGGAGAGCCTGGAGGTGGGTGCACAGCAGGCAGGCGCAGCCCGAGGTGTGTGTGGGGGGTGGTCAGGGCTTCTCCAGCTGGACATCTCCAATGTGGAGGCTGCCCACGTCCTGGTAGGTGCCCTGGAGGCCCCGGGAGATGTCTTCGTACATGGAGCAGTCATCGAGGTTCAGGCCCTGGGGGACACAGGGCAGCAGACATCAGTACCCCAAAGCCTAGGCTCCCTGCCCTTCCCACCACCAATCCCAAGGGGGACCCTGTGCAGCCTGCACAGAGCCCCTGCCCCTGTGCTGCCCATCCCCAAGCCTCCACTCACCTCATAAAGGTTTTCATCTTCACAGTCATCCCTGGGGTCCATTCCAAACTTCTCATTCTGCCAGCGCTTCTGTGAGGGGTGAGCAGGGGGAAGCAAAACAGCTTTTCAAACTCTCCTGGATGCCTCTAGGAGGTGCTTTTCCAGAGGGGTAAGGGACATGCCACATATCCAGTATGTGGCAGGTCTCTCTGGGTCCAGAGCTGGTGTCATTTTGGCCATCTGCACTTATTATTCTCCATGAATGACAACAATGATAGTAAATAATAATAGTTCCCTGTGGCCTAAGGAGAGGCCAGAGCAGGTGACTGTGGGAGGACAACCAGCCCCCTTCTTCCTTGCTCTCTGCTGCCACTCTGGAGAGAGCGCTGCTGGTGTAAACAGGGGGACAGGGGGGATACTGGGGAAGAGGAATCAATGAGGACAGCCCCCCCACCCCCGCAGGCCAGCGCCACTTAAAACCCTTTCATTGGGTTGGCTCACTTGGCTCCCACAGTTCCCGAGAGGTGGACACATTCCAGTTCCCAGTGTGGGGGGGAACCGCAGCCCAGGCCTTGCCCACTGACTCCAGGTCCTTGGGGCTCACCCTGAACAGCAGCAGAGTCCCAGGCACCACGGCACAGAAGAGCAGGATGATCCCCTCGGCTGTGATGATGCGATTCTTGGTGCCCTCCTCCATATCCAGGAAGGGTCTGGGAGGTGGCTCTGCGAAGAGCGGGTGCTGCTCAGAACCCTGCGCCTCCTGCCCTCCCGGGATGCCCACCCCACCCATGCAGGCCCCCTCCTGCACTAGTGGCCCATTCCAAGCACAGGAGGAAGGCGCTCAACAAAAGAGGAAAGCCTGTCCCAGCCCCCAGCTGGCACAGGGGACCTGAGGCCAGGTTCTGAGCCACTCACCACGCACTCGAAGGTAGGTGCCACAGGAGTGCTTCCATGCCCCGCCAGCTTCCACTCGGCAGCGGTATATGCCCCTGTGGCTCTTGTTCACCTTTGGGATGATCCAGGAGCCGTTTTGGTCACCAGTGTGACTCAGTAACACTGGGGTCCAAGTACAGTTGCCCTGGAGGATGTGCCACCACGTGATGTTGGGGTTGGTGCCATTGTTCAGGCACTGGAAGTGGGCGTCCTCCCCAAGGCTCACTGTCACTGATGTTAGGCCACTGTGCACCCACAGGGTGGCCTGGCACCCAGGTCCTGTTGAGAAGCAGCCAGTGGGTCAGAGACTGGAGAGAGCACCACTGTCCCCAGCCCTGGCTCCTGCAGCTGGAGTGCTCCAGGGAGTGGTGGGGGGAGTGACATCACTCCTTGGGTGTGTGGGTGCGGGAAGGAGGAGAATATGATGGGTCCGCCTGGAGCCCCAGTCTCTTCTGCATGTCAACTTTGTGCTGTGTACTCTGGCTTTTGGATGTCGATTTTCTGGCACTGAAGAGCTCCTCTGAGAGCTTCCAGACAGCTCCTCGAGAGTCAGCGCAGGCAGCCGCCCTCCTGAAGGCCACTGGGGTCCCCGAGCCTCAGGTCAGCCCTGCACAGGGGACTTTACCTTGTGTAACCATCACAAAGCCCTGAGAACTAGGGTCCCTTGTACAGCAAGGTGGCTGAGGCCTAGGGAGGGGAGCGGCCCTAGGGCACAAACTCCCAGCTCCATTGGCCTGTTCCTGCCTGGGAGGGAAGCCCACATTGGCCTGCGAGCCTGGGGTGCTTCTCTCCTCCTCTGTATGAGCCTAGGGCAACCCTCAGTCTCTGTAACTTCCGGTGGCAGCCTGGGGCTCAGAGGTGGGTTCAGTCCTTCGGCTGGGCCCCAGGATAAGGGAGGGGCCACAGCTGGGTGGAGACAGGGGTGTTTCTGAGGGAGAAAGGGTTGTCTGGTGCCTTCTCCTCTGGGAAGCCTCAGCTCTCAGCCTCCCCAGGCCGGTCCACAGGGCCGGCTCGGTCTTCTGGAGGGAGGAGGAGGAAGGGATGGGTTAAGAGGCTGAGTAACCTCATGGTCACAGGTTTAAGACTCAGACAGACATGAGCACCCACTCTGTTCCTAGTGTCACTTGGGACAGTGATGGTGACCTTCCCCTCTGAACTTCAGTGTGGTCACAGTCCCTGTCAGCTGGCCTTGGGTGGGGAAAGGAAGAGAGGAGGAAGGAGTGAACGAGGCACACCCTACTCCCTTGTACTGAGGAGGTTACACAGGGTGCCACTGAGATTGAAGGTGGAGACAGGCACAGCTTTTTCTCTCCTCTGATGCTCAGTGCCACCCCCAAGGCCCCTTCCTGTCCCCAGCCCCGGTGTTCAGTCAAGAACCACCTTAGTTCCTTATTTTGACTTGTGTGGACAAGGGTTGGGTGGGGGGTGGCACTGCCAAGCCTGCCTCCCTCCATGGTGCTGTGGGCACCCTGCTAACTGCCGAGCCTCCCCCGGCTTTATCTTGGTAAAGCTTGGGACATATGGGTCAGTCAATCCCCAAATCCCCCAATTGACTGATGCGCTTGCTTTCCACGTCAGCCTTCCCCAGCTCTTCCTTCTTCCAACTCCTGTCCCTGACAGAACCCTTCCCCCGCCTACGCCTTCCCTCCAGCCTCCCCAGGCCCCAGCACCTGCCCTTTGGCCACATACCCCAGCAGGCTGCAGACAACAAGAAGAGGAGGATGGTGGCCGGCAGAGCTCGGAACACTCCTGTGCCCCCAGGCATCTTCTTCCAGTAGGTGGATTAATCTGGGTTGCAGCAGGCAGATTCCACCCAAACCTCACCTCACCCTGCTTCCTGCCCAGCCCTGCCGGAGATGGGCTCCAGTGGCCCTCACTGCCGGGCCCTGTGGGCAGCCCCTGGCAGTATGCTTCAGGCCAGTCAGAGGAACTGCTCCTGCACCTGTGGCAGCCACAATTCCCCAGAGGCACAGCTACTTCAGGTGGGGGGCGGGGCTGATTCAAGCCCCACCCCCCATCCCCAAGCCTTGGGAAAGAAGGCTGGGATAGCCAGAGTCATGGGTGCCTGGCACAGGCAGGTCTGTGTGGTTGGTTCTGAGCTTGGGTTGTGCCCCTCTGGACCTTAGGCGAAACTTGTCCCCTCTGAGCCTCTGTTCTTAGCTTCTTGGGGGGTGGGGTGGGACTTAGAGATTTGTGCACCCAAGGCACAGGATACAGGGCCCGGTCTGTGGTAGGTGCTCAGTCACCATCCATGTTCAGGAGGAGTAAACAGTGCAGGCGGACCCTCTGCCCACTACCCATATGACAAGGGAGTCACTTCCCTCCCCCAACCATTTATTTATTTATGTATTTATGTATGTACGTACGTATGTATGTTTTTGGTGGTGCTGGGCAATCGAACCCAGGACCTCAGGTACGCTAGGCAAGTCCTCTATCATTGAGCTACACTCTCAGCCATTTATTGTTAATTTTTTGATTTTGAGACAGTCTCCCTAAGTTGCCCAGGCTGGCCTCAAACTTGTGAGCCTCCCCATGATCAACTCTTTACTGGAGTCCTTTTTTTTTGGTACTGGGGATCGAACTCAGGTCCTGCACTTGCAAGGCAGGCAGCAGAACCACTGAGCTAAGTCCCCGGCCCTGGAGTTCTTTTATGTTGGTCACACGGGCCAGGTAGACCATCCTCTATATTACAGAGGAGGAAACCGAGGCCCAGGGAGGCCAGGTTGTCACTTGCCCAGTGCCTTACATTCTGGGAGTGGGGGAGCAGAGTGGAGCAAGGATTCAAAGTCACCCCCTTTTTGTTTGTTTTGCAATACTAGGGATTGAACTGAGGGCTTTCACATTGAACTATATCCCTGGCCTTTTAAAATTTTATTATTTTAATTATTTTTTAAAAAATTTATATATATATTTTTGTACCGGGGATCGAACTCAGGACCTTGTGCTTGCAAGGCACGCACCAGAACCACTGAGCTAAATCCCTGGCAAATTTTATTATTTTAATTTTGAGACAAGTTCTCACTAAGTCCCAAAGTTGCCCAGGCTGGGCTTGAATGTGTGAATTTCCTGCCTCAGCCTCACAGAGTGCTGGGATCACAGGTGTGTGACACTACTTGAAGTCACTTTTGTGATTCCCAGGTTCCTTTTAGCCAGTTATTCCTGGCCAGGGAAATTAGGTTGGAGTGGGGAGAGTAGAGATGTTGAGCAGTTAGGGGATCTTCACACACATTTGGAGATGTGCAGGGAAAAAATTCAATGCAGGGGAGATTTTTGGTACGAAAAATTGAGCAACAAACCAAAAATCCACTTATTGGAGACAGATGTAACAATTGTAGGACAGTCAGGCAACAGAATACCATAGAGTAGAGGGAGTGTTAATATGAAACAACACGAGACCAACAAAAAAAGTGTAGCGTGGTGCAGTTGACTTCTTTTTTTTTTTTGCTACCGGGGATGTGTTTGTGCAGCCGGCGGTGAAACCACTGAGCTAAATCCCTGGCCCAGACTTGTTTCTTTAAAAGGGAAGAAAGCAGGGCATGGTGGCACATGCCTGTAATCCCAACACTCAGGAGGCTGAGGCAGGAGGATTGGTGTGAGTTCAAGACCAGCCTGGGCTACATATCAAGACCCTGTCTCAAAAAACAAAACAAAACAAACAAAAAAGACAAAACACTGTGTGTTGCTTCACTACACACTTGTGGAAGAGATGTAGACCCACATGGGTTACAAGTGCCCAGTTCCTGAGGGGGTTATGTTTTGAGGAAGTGAGGAGGGCTGGGACTGAGGAGGGGCATACAGATGGCGTTGCCAGTTTTGGTTATCTAGTTTTGCAGTATTAGGGATTGAACCCACGGGCGCTCTAGCACTGAGATACATCTCCAGCACTTTTTATTTTTTGAGACTTTTTTTTAGGGTACTGGGGATTGAACTCGGGACCTTGCGCTTGTGAGGCAGGTGGTGGATTTTGAGACTTTTTTAACTTGCCCAGGCAGGACTTGAGCTTGTGAACTTCTTGCCTCAGACTCTGTCACTGGTGGGATTACAGGCATGTGCCACCAAGTTCAACCTGTGTCTCCCCCCACCCCCACCCCCGGTACTGGGGCTTGAACCCAGGGTTTTTGCACTGAGCTACATTACTTGTAATCCTCCTGCCTCAGCCTCCCAGTGCTAGGATTACAGATGTTTGCCACACACTTGGCTAATTACTTCTTAAACTGGTTTCTGTTACACTGTTATATTTTTTTGCATACCTGAAATACTTAATAATTTAAAAATAGTGTGACTGTCACCCACATGGAAGAGCACAGGCCAATGGTGGTGAACCTATGGCATGTGAGCCACAGTGGGCTGTGTCACTGAGAACTCTAAAAGGTCTGCCATGCCTGGCATAGGGATTCAAGCTTGGTATGGTGGCCTATGCCTGTAATCCCAGGACTCTCAGGCTGAGACAGGAAGGTCTAACCAGAAATTTAGTGAGACCCTACCTCAAAATAAAAATGGGCTGGGGATGTAGACCCTGGGTTCAGTCCTCAACACTGCATGCTTGTGCACACACATACGCAAGTTTGAGATTCCTAGGTCTGTATCTCAGCTCTGCCAACTGAGCGGCTGTGTTTGTTTCTTCTGCTGTAACATGGGTGTGTATCCAAGCCCCTGAGAGGCCATACTAGTGTTACAAAGCGCATCAACACAATTCCTAGGACAGCGGTAGTTAGTTCTCCTTCTTTGGCCCTCCAGGCTCACCCCCTTCTTCCAGACACCCAGGTGTTTGGTTGGCCCCCTGCTCTGTGCCTCAGTTCCCTTCAGGACCTAGGAAGTATGGACCCCCAGCTGGAACCCCTAGGAATCCAGGATCCTCCAGCTGCTAAACTTTTTGAGGCCCTCGACTGTCCCCCAGTGGCTGGAGGGTGCAGCTGCATGATTGCAGGCCCACTCCAGGGCGCAGGCAGTTGGGTACTTTGTTCCTTACCTAGGACCCCCGGTGGCCCACCCTGTATGAAACAGACCTTAGCATTTTGCTCTCATCAGCTTTGGGAAATGCTCTCATTCTCAAAGGGCAGAGGAAATGGAGAGCTGGATGTGGTGACACACACTTGTCATCCCAGTACTCAGGAAGGCTGAGGCAAGGACCATCATCCAGAGGTAGGTGGTGAGCTCAAGGCCAGCCTCGACTACGTCGTGAAACTGTCTCAAAGCAAAACAAAAAACCAGCCCTGGAACAGGGGTGTGACTGGCCCAGGGCTGGGCCAAGCAGAATCCTTTGGGCCTCCTCTCACCTGAGGGACAGCACTGTAGCAGGCTGAGCTGCTCAGGTTTAAATGATGGCTCTGCCTCTTTCCAGGTCTTTTATCTCCAACACCCAGGTGCTGTTTGGCACCTACTTCACCAGGGCGCTGGGCATGTATTTCTAAAGCACCTGGCACCGCAGGAGATTCTAGTGTCTTCACACAGCCATTAAGGGTGGCGGATTCACTCCCCATCAGCTGATAGTTTACGCTTCTAACACCTTGTTCTTCAATATGGGGGAAGCCAAGTGCTGTCTCCAAAGCTCTGCACAGCATCTTGCTGAATCTTGCAGTGGCACAGCTAAGGCCGAGAGAGAAAAAGGTACACAAGGTGGCAGGTAGGACATTATTTTGTATAGTGCTGGCTACCAAAGCCAGGATCTACCACTGAACTACTTCCTTAGCCCAGAGCTGGAAGGTGAACTCAAGCCCAGGCTTTGCACTGGGAGGAAATGGTACATACCTGAGGAATAGCTTGAACTGGGTGGCCTCGGGGCCTTGACTGAGCCACTTCAGGCTCAGCACCTTAAGTTTTCCCAGCTCAGAGGTGGGATTACATTGGTAAGGAGTGTATTTCTGAGTGTCAGGCACATGCCCACTGGGTGCCATTTGGATCTTCTGCCTGAATGGGGAACTGGTCATTAAGGACTCCACGGCAGGCAGCCACCGAGCAGAAGCTGCACTTCAGGGTCAAGCCCAACCTTAGTAGCCTTAAGTGGCAGCCCGTTCCAGTATGAACTTCAGTACTTCCTTCCCTTGTAGGATTTGGGGAGGTGTGTGTGGAGGAGACAGAGGGGCCTCTAGTCCCTCTTAAAGATGGGAAGGAAGTGCCATCTTCCTATCTCCAAAGAACAGCCGATTAAAAGAGACCCAGACCAGGTTACGAATGAGGCTATTTATTAACCCAGCATCTTTGTTCTAATGCTTCTTATTGGCAGCTGCCACCTGTGGGAAAGGAGAAATAACATCAGCAGAGTTTCTGCTGGGGCGCTGTGTTTAATTAGCTATCCACCATCCCCAGATGCCAAATGTACTCATCTCATCTAACCTTTACAACCACGGCCATTCCCCCAGGTTAGACTTGTAAGCTGGGCTTCAGGAAATGAGACTCCAACTTCTACCCACTGTCCTGAGGGGAAGGGAACCTCCAGCACTGACAACTGTGCCAGGCTCTGCTCTGTGGAGAGTTCCTTTTTCCAGGTCACCCAATTATTGCCAGAAACACTCCATTCTTTTTTCCTCTAACTTGCAACAATCCTCCCGCCTTAGCCTCCCAGAATGCTGATTATAGGCAAGCGCTTCCATGCCAGGCCCTTTGTTCTTTTTTTGACAAAAGTGACTAAACATCCCTAGGAGGCTCTGCTGCACTAGGGCCTGTGGACTCCTCGCCACCATTCATGAGGTCGGTGGGAGTGGTATGTAGGGAGACTGCAGAGCTGAAGTGAGCCTGCTCGAGTGAAGGACAGCCAGGGTCTAGATGGGGGACTGGAGTCAGAGTGCTGCTCCCATCTCAGCTTCTCCCATGCTGTCCCACCTGGGCCCAGCAAGAATACTGCAGTCAGAACCCTAGGGCTGACCAGGGAGGAGGGAACCAAGTGTGGGGGTAGATATGCACCTGGCAGAGACCCATAGCACGCTGGGGCAGGGGCTCCCTCTACACCAGCACACAAATTTCCAAGCAACTCCAGCAGAAAGCCAGAAAGTCCTTTTCTTTGCCCCTGGGAAGTCCTCCCGGGGAGGAAGTAAGTAAGATCTGTGTGACAAGGGGCTCTGGAAATGCCTACAGTGATCAAGGGACCCAGCTCAGGCCTGCACGCTTGCCTCACCTGTCCGGCGATTCTGTCCAGATCTCTCTGTCCCTGAGGTGTCAGCTTGCGGCCCCTGCAGAAGGGAAGAGTTATGCAGTCCCTGGTGAGAATGTGTTGCAAGAAGGCTGTGGGACCACATGAACACCAGCCCCAGCCTGCTACATTCTAATGAGCTGGGGGCAGGAGCAGGAGCCCTCCTGGGAACTGACGGGGTGTCGTTTGTGCAAGCATTAGATCAAAAGCCCCGAAAAAATCAATTGGGAAAAGTTAACGAGCAGGCTAATGAAAGCAGACAGTCGCTAAATTACCTTCCCAGAGCCTGAGGAAGTCAGCTAGAGAGGTCGGGGTGAGACCCTGACTGTTTGCGTTTCTGCTCAATCCCCTGCCTGAGGCCCGAGGGGCAGGGGCTGGGCATTTGGCACCCACCTCCATGCATGGGAGCGGCACCTGGCAACTCCACTATAGGCCACCTGTGGGCATGACCTGACTCTTGACCTCCTCACTGCTTACCCATCTTGGTCCTTTTCCACCATTTTCAGCCCCTCCAGGGCCTGGAGGACTCTGCGTGCCACACTCTTGGAGCCTCGGCTGAAGTGGCTGGGCATGACGCCGTTTCTTTGACGTCCACCGTAGATCTTGGTCATGGAGCCAACCCCAGCGCCACCCCGGAGGTACAGGTGCCGTGCTGTGGAAGCTGGAGGTAGGGATGAGAGGGAGTCTGAGGACCCTTCTCAGGGAGAAGTCTCCTCCCAACACCCAAGAGCCTTGTTCAAGGTCATATATACAATTTGCTATGAAGCAGTTAATTCTCACCACTTTTTTTTTTTTTTTTAGGTACCGGGGATCAAAGTCAGATCCTTGCGCTTGCGCAGCAGGCGCAGAAACCACTGAGCTAAATCCCTGGCCCCAATTCTCACCGTTTTATAGGAAAGGAAATGGAAAACACCAGGACCTAGTACTGACAACTTTCTTATCCTTCAGCCCAGTTCCTCCATGGCTAAGTGGTCCAGCACTATGGGAAGGACTCCCCCTGCCCAGGGCCAAGATCCTTAGGTTTTACTGCGTAAGTGTTGCAGTGAGATGGAGCCTAGCAAACGTTTAAGAAAAACTATGACAGAACCGGGTGTGGTGGTGCATACCTGTAACCCTGGCTCCCAGGAGGATCACTAAGTTTTGAGCCCAGTCTGGGTTACATAGTGAGACCCCATCTCAAATATCCAAAGAAAACTGATAACCATCTCTATGTGCCGGAGATTCGGAAGCAGAGAAAGGATCTACTCCTGAGTGTAGCTCCCCGGCCACATCAGCAGGGTAGAGCTCAGGAAAATGGTCAGGGCAGACACTATGTAGTGAATGCTCCTGACCCGGGCTGTGCATCACTCCCTCCATGGTCTTGGACAACTTCTGCCCAGTCTCCCTTGGGAGAGCTTCCGTGCCTGCACAGCAAGGTCCAGTAAAAGCCAGTTGAGAAGTGCCACTGAGTGGGAGCCTGGCCACTCAACCTGACCCAAGGCCCAGGAGTGAGCCCCAGACCTGGCTAAATGAAGACTCAATGTATTTGTCAAGTACTGGTCTCCTTCAGAGAAAGGGAAACTGAGGCTACAGAAGGTACTCAATGGCCCCATGTCACCCACCCCAGAGGGACTGCCTGTTGTGTCACTGAAGCCTTAAAGAATTGAAGCCCAGGAAGTTCCCAGACTTCAGCCACTGCACAGCTGTCTGACTGTGGAACATAAGGGCAGGGATTCTGCTTTATCCCTGGGGTTGAGCAATCAGCCAGTGACCCTGGTTTGCCCAGGCGACGTCTTCTTTTGGTTCAGAAGGTCAGCCGGGGCCATCAGAGGTTCATTTCTTCAGTAACTCTGGATTGAGAGGCAGATGTGGAACAGTGTTGTGTGTGTATAACTGACTAGACGAGGTGGAAGGCCTCTTCTCCAGTCTTTCTGCCAGGAGTGTCACCACTGGAAAACTCCACCCTGAAGACCAGTCCAAATGGCCCATAGTCGTGGTTGGTCGGTCCGTCCATCCTGTACCTTCACTGGACTATGCTCAGGCTCTGGGTGCAGCTGGGCAGTATGGATAGCTGCTGTAAGGCACGGCCCACAGATGCCCAGCAAAGACTGCTCACCAGGACAAAGTGGGTGGCCCTGGCTCACCAGAACAGGGCCCAGAGTTGCCAGGCAGACAGACAGCAGATGAGGACTCAAGTCCCAATACTGCTCCTGGTCAGCAGTGATGGTCTCTTTGGCCTCCAGGTGGTATGTACATTAGTACTAGAAGTGACTGTTCACTTAAACTCTAGCACAGTGACTGGTAGAGCAAGATACAATGGGCTGGGAATTTAGCTCAGTGGTTTTGCTGCCTGCTGCACGAGCGCAAAGACCCGAGTTCGATCCCCGGTACCAACCCCCCCCCCCAAAAACCAAAAAACAAGATCCAATGAAGCCTACAGGAGTCTTCAATGGGGGCTTACATTTTTCTCAAGTGCTGTATAAAAACCATCCAGTATGGAGATCAGCTTCTGTCACATCACGAGGTCCTGCCCTGATACCTGAGTTCAGGCAGGTCATTTTTGACCCACAAGAAGGGCATTTATATTTTAAAAACTAGAAGCTGTAAAAACTGAAATAAACAGAATTCTGTACAACTGACCTCTTTCCCACCCCCTCAAGACTTGTTCTAAGAACACAAATCTAGGCCATCTTAGCTATAATTGAAGAGGGCCGATGAGCCAGGTCCTGCCACAGCTTCTCAGCTGTCCCACAGGCCCCTGCTCCTTTTCTGTCTTTGGGAGTGACAGCCCATTCCCCTCAGGAAACTGTCCATGAGTCCCTGTGCTTGAGCAAGGAGACCAAGGTTTCTTGGGTCATGGCAACTTGGCACCTCAAGAGTGTGTGCCAAGCACAGGCCGATGTACCACAGCACAAGTGGGTTGCCCGCCCTGCAGAGGTTACATGGACCAAGCTCCCCTTACAAGCAACCAGAAGCCCCCAACTGACACCACACCAGACACTTCTTTTACTCCTAAGCAGCTCCTGAGAAACAAGAGGCCCAAACAGGGTAACGCCTCATCCCTTCACCAAAGTTCTCCCTTGAGCAACACTGAGCCGTCCTCTAGGGGTCTCCACTCTCCCGAAGTGGGTCCTTCGTTTCTCTACCTCACCCTTGGACTTATCCCATCCCACAGCCCTGCCTCATGTCCAGGTCACCCGCAGAGGGCCCTGCCTTCTCCAGCTCTCAGGCTCCAGGATCAACACTTATTCCACTGGCCCACTGGAGCCTCAAACCCTTGAGGGGGCAAAACAGGCAGCCCACCACCCACCATCCAGAGAAAAAAATCAAACAGCCACATGCCTAGTTCTGGACAGAATCTACCTTCAATAATACCTCCATGGCCACTTGCAGCAAACCATTTCACCTTTCTGTACCTCAGTTTCCTGTTACAGACCACTCCTATAACTTGAGTACAGGCCAGTGATGGGGAACTTTTTAGAGCTTTCAATGATACAAACAGTCCACTGCTGCACGCATCCTATAGGTTCGCCACCACTGGTATAGGCTGATGACAGAACCCGATAGGACACTGGATTCTAGGATACTGGCAAGCACCTCCTCTATAGGGCCACACAGTAAATATCCAATCTGTCACAACTACTCTGTACCTGTTGCTGTAGTGATGCCAACAACCTGGAGTGGCAGCATCCCAACAAAAACATGAGCCTTGGGCCTAGAACCTAATTGTCCTTAGGCCACGGCGTGGCTGGTAAAGTGAGGTCCAACACAGACCATCAGGGGCTTTAGGTGATGAGACCAGTAGCAGGAAAAAAGTGCATTCCCATGGGGAGACGGCTGGGAAGGATGTAGTGGGTTAGAAGGGGGTCACGCCAACTGTAGCATGACCAGCAGGCTCACCTAGATTTATTACCCAGGATCTCGATGAGCATCACTGGGTGTCTGACCCTGGACAAGTTACTTCATCTCCCTGACACCAACCGTGAAACAGACAAAACCAATCATACTTGAGTTTTTTGCACATTACACAGAATGTGCACTCAACATTGCCCAATGGGAAAAACTATTGGACTACTTCCTTCTAATCCTAAATCCAAAGGAGCCATGCATGACCTGCCAACTGACCACTGCCAAACAACACACAGGACCAAGCAACCTTGATTCCCAGGTTTGTGGAGTGCTGTGTCTCACTCAGGCCTTGGGTCCCCAGGAAAGTCAGCTTCCTTTCCTATTTTCTAAAAATAATGGTGGGTGTGTGGATATGCCACCTACTCTACCTACCTCAGAGCTCAACTTCTAGTCCCCAGGTCAGAGGCTGTGCTGAGTCTATGTTGTGCTCCTGTGCCCAGTCCAGAGCCTGAAACAAAGGGGTCCACTAACATTTGATGTACAAATGCATGCCAACCTGTATAAGGCCCAAGCCCAAGACATCTTGGGGTCACTGTGGTAATTCAAGCAATCTGCTTCCTTACTTCCTATCTACTGAGACTTGGCTAGGATAGAGTTCCCACTTCATAAAGGCATAAGACTGAAGACTGGAAGTTAAGGCACTTTACTGAAGGCCTATACAGAGGCAACCACCCTGGCACTGATCCCATCCCCCCAAGTCTATACAAGGGTGACAGCTTACGGAACCTTGAAAGGTCAGATAAACAAAAACTAGCACTGCACAGTCAGCAAATTATTTAAATTACAACCAGAATATTAAAACAGAAGGGGGCTGCTACAAGGCCACAGGGCAACCACAAAAATTTGCAAGTTTTCTTTTGGGCACTTGGGAATCTTGTCAAGATTCAGAGCAGGGAGTGATCTGCCTAGATTCCAACGATCTAGTTAGAAATACCTTACTAGACACAAGGAAAGGGCTAGCACTGTGATCTGAACAACAAAAATAAAGACACAGCTGACTTTTCTTGAATTACTATGTAACAGACATGTTTCTAAATATTTCCCCACAATAAGCCAGTTTTGGTTCAATTGTTAGCTTCACTGTAGGAATGAACAAAAGAAGGGTTAAACAACTTTCCTGAAGTCAGTTAAACGGTAGAAACGACGCCGAACTCAAGAGTCTGACTACATGGATATAACAGATGTTGCCTCTCTAAAGTAACCACCTTATTAAAATACAAACGAACGCTCATTTGTCTCTAGACTTTCCCTGAAACTCAATGGCACAATGAACACACAGTGCATCCAGCATATCGTGACAGTAAGGTCTCTTCCTATATCACAGCCATGGGAGGAGGGCAAGACAGGGATCCATGCTTGGGCCAAGCTCATTCCCTAACCCCAGCCAATGGCCCAAAGTTCCTCACCAGCTCGCGTGTAGAACCAGTTCTCATCATAGGGAGCAAGCTCTTTATGCTTGGCCAGTTTCACTGTGTCCACCCATTCGGGGACTTTCAGCTTCCCGGACCTGGGACCAAGATAATGAGAAAAGCAATTTAGCAATCTCCACAAACTCCTCTCCAGCCTCCGTTCACTTTGAGCCTCAACCTCAATACTCACTTTTTGAGGAAGGCTGCCAGAGCTCTGACGAACTCCTGCTGGTTTACGTCTTTTACAGTAACTCCAGGCATCTACAAGAGAAGGTCATGCACATGAACATTTGGCCTAATGAAGACGACTGACAAGGACTCGGCCTGAGACCAATCGCGCCCGCAGCTTCCTCGTTAACTACCCCCGGCGCGCTTCACCCCCACCTCCCGGTCCCGCGTGGCTCACTGGCGCCCATGGTCTATGAAGACCCAGACCCACCCCGCGCCAGGAGACCTCTCGAGATGCTTCCCCTCACTCGCGGGATTCTGGGCGCCTCCCGCTGCCCAGCAAACCCTCTTGGTTCCTGGACCGCGCAGATTGGGCATGTCCAGGCCTGCCGCTCGCACGTGGTCGCCGGTCCAGGGGGCGGGGCGGCACCACGCCGGGCGCCCCCGGACCCTGAAACACGCGTTCCCGAGCTGAGAGGTCCGGCCCTGATGCCCTGAGCCCAACCCAAACCGGAGCTCCCACTTACCGTGCGGCCTCCGCGCTGCCAGCCAGGGGAAAGGGAACGACGGGGTTTCCCGGGCGCACAAATCGGGCGTCAGTCTCGCGGGAGTTCCGAGCTCTCGCGAGAGCAAGGCTAGCGCAGGCGCCTCCGCCTTTCTCAGGGAGAATGTGGAGGGCGCGGTGTGAGGGTGGCGACGCCTGTGTTTCCTTTCCCGCCCTGTCTTTTTTTGGGGTGGGGCGAGATAGCAGGGAGAGTTCCGTTCTGGAGCTGGAAGAAACCTGGCTTCTGTTGCGTCGTGCACGGCTGGCAGGAAGAGCCGAGGACACTATGAGGGCGGAAGTATGGACAAGTTGGGCAAGAAAGACCTGGCCACAGCGGCCCACCCGTTTCCCGGATAGCCGGAAGTAGGAGTGGTGAGGACGGAATTGTGATAGGGAACCTAGGGGCAGGGCAAGGAAGAAATATGGCCACCGCCTTTCCCTCGTCCACCGCCAGTAATCGCGAGAGCAGGAGGAGGCGGAAGCCCCACCCTTCTTAGGGCAGAAATTGCTTCAGCTCGTCTGAGGGGACCGGAGTGGAATGAGGCGGGAAGGAGCTAAGGGTAGGGACAAAGGCAGAGGCGGGACTTTGTAGGGTCAGTTGCTCTTTACCTCCCGGTACTGCTGTCTGTTCCGCATTTAGCCCTACTTTGGCCTTTTAGCTTTGTTAGCTTCACAAACTGTATTTACAACCGAGGGCTTCAGTCTCGAAACTGTAATCCCCGCTCTCGGGAGGCTGAGGCAGGAGGATCCAGCGAGTTTGAGGCCAGCCTGGGCTATAATAATGAGTCCAGGCCAGCCTGAACTACATTGCGAGACATTGTCTCAAAAAACCAACCAACCAAAAAAACCCCACCAAAAAACAAAACAAACAACAACAAAACCCAACCCAAATAAAACCACACCGAGATTCCAGTTATTTTCCTATTTTAAGTGATGCTCTTGTATGCAGTCCTTCACATATTCTAGAGACAAATATTTTGTGTGCCTACTGTCATGGCTGACCTGAGTGAGATCCTCTCAGCAAATATACTGCCCTGCACAAACAACACTAACGGGCCACGCTGCCCTCAGTAAACAGAACAGACGGCCATAAAAAAAATTTAGGACAAGACATACAGTCTCCCCAGTGCAAAAAAGTCCGGTATTACCTGTACACCTGAACTGACAGTCCTTGGAACTTTGACCCCAGGCATTACACCCAGATTTCTTAGTTTTGTAACCCCATCCCCAGACTCTATAACAACTTAACTTCTCCTCTGGCCAGCTGCTGAAATCTTTCATGATCTCAGCCTGTCAGCATTTAGACAAATAAGTCCAGCCTTTTTCTCACATAAACCCTGTGTCCAGGTGATCTCTTGTGTGCTGTTTGTAACACCTACTATGTGCCAGGGGCAGGTAAACATTAGTTGGCTATTTATTATGTTACTGGTTCTATACTATTACATGCATCATCTCATTTAATTTTTACAAGGCCCACAGCAATGAATACGAAGGACACCCTTTGTCGTTCTATAAAATTAAGTTGCTACAAAAAAGAAATACTTAAATGTATTTATTTTTTGTGTTGAAAAGACTAAGAGTTTAGGGCTGGGGATTTAGCTCAGTGGTTTTGCCACCTGCTGCACAAGCACAAGGACCTGAGTTCAATCCCTGGTACCCCCCCAAAAAAAGTTTAAAACATCAGAGCAAACAATATAAAAATTTCCACATTGAAGCCAGATGTTGTGCCACATGCTAGTAATCCCAGCACTCAGGAGACTGAGGCAGGAAGACCTCAAGTTCAAGGTCAGCCTGTGCTAAATAGTGACACCCTGTCTCAAAAAACCCAAGCTTTTTCCACACTGAGATACTGTGTGTTCAAAATGTCCTATTTATGAGTCAATATGTTCTATAACTTTATAAACCAATATATTTCATAACTATTAAAAATTTAAACCTTGGGTTTAGGGGTGTAGCCCAGTGGTGGGACACTTGCTTTGTTAGCATGAGTGAGTCCCTCCCTAGGGTCAGTCCCAGCACTACAACAAACAAACAGAACAACAGCAACTACAACAACAATGCTTCTAGTATAAGAAAATCATGCATTCAAGTCAGGGTTTTAGTAGAATACAGCTGAACAGTGTTTCACATGTTTTTTACTGAGCAGCATGGGAGGTTTTACCTGCTCCAATTGCCAAGTGGGCTGGTTCACCTGCCCTTGGGAAACCTGGTGGTCCTTGCTCCATGGAGGTCACCATTCTGACTACAAACTTCGTGTGACCACCTGAGAAGCATAGGGCACCACAGTCCAGACCTCCTGGGCTCAAGTGACCCTCCTGCTTCAGCCTCCCTGTAGCTGGGACTACAGGTTTGGTGAGTGGTGCCCGCTCATACTGTTTTTATTTGTTTGTTTTGTTTTTTTGGTACCTAAAATCAGACTCAGGACCTTGTGCTTTCGAGGCAGGTGGCAGAACCACTGAGCTATAACCCCGGCCCAATTGTAGATTGATTGTAACAAAGTACACTTTGGTGTGGAGTGCTGCTAGAGGAGGAGTGTGTGTGTGTGTGTGTGTGTGTGTGTGTAGGGTGGTATATGGGAACATTACCTTCTGCTCAATTTTGCTATGAACCTGAAACTGATCTAAATAATAAACTATATTAAAAGAATGCACTGGACATGGTGGTGCATACCTGTCATCCCAGCACTCTGAGAGGATAAGTTTGAGCCCGGCCTGGGCAACTTAGCAACTTAGTGGGGCTTAATAGAGACATTGAGTCAGAATAAAAGAATTGGGGTGGGGATTTAGCTCAATGGTTTCACTGCCTGCTGCGCAAGTGCAAGGATCCCAGTTTGATCCCTGGTACCAAAAAGAATAAAAAAATAGGGCCGGGGATTTAGCTCAGTGGTTTTGCTGCCTGTTGTGTAAGCACAAGGACCCAAGTTCAATCCCCGCTACCAAAAAAAAAAAGAATAAAAGAATTGATTTTTTTCTGGTACTGAGGACTAAACTCGGGGCCACACTGAGCTACATTGCCAGCCCCTTATTTAGTTAGTTTTTAAAAATTTTGAGACAAAGCCTTGGTAAATCACCTGGGCTGGGCTTGAAACTGTGCTCCTCCTCCCTCAGCCTCCCAGAGTGAGCCACACACCTGGCTAAAAGGATGACTCTCACTTTTGGGAAGAGTTTAGGATCTCATGGTTTATGCAGGGTCTGAATTATAGGACTGTGCTTATGTGAACATGTGCCAGGGGCTACAAAGCTAGCTACACAAGTGTCTAAGTCTGTACAGTGAGACTACATAAACCAGGAATGAGGGCTTGAGTGTAGCCTGGGGCTGGGGGGTATGACATGGTTTTGTACTTTGTACTAGAAGTGTGCTCAGCAATGGACCAAATTCACATAGGGCTGAAGTGAAGGGAATATGGATTCTCAAAGGGCACAATGTGAAATGTGCTCCTGAAATTAAGCCTGGTGGTTGTGGGGAGTCTTGTGAGGAGAGAGAGGAGCAGGGACGGTGCTTCCTATCTGAAACTTCATCAGTTATTTCTTTTTTTGGGGGGGTACTATGGGGATTGAAGTCAGGACCTTGCACTTGCAAGGCAGATGTGGTGCCGCTGAGCTAAATCCCCGGGCCCTCAGCAGTTATTTCTGCAGAGTGTCAAAAGAGTACATAAAAAAGCTTAGAAGGCTTCCAGGGCAGTATGAAGGCAATACCTTTGGCGATTCTGCAATGGGAAGTGGGAAGAGGGGTGGCATAGGAAACAGTGGTCATTGTCCACTGGCTGAAGTCCTTGGGGGCTGGTCAGAGGCCAGGAGCCTATTGGCTCCTTACAGCTGCAGGTGAAGAGTGCTGTACTGAAAGGAAGTAGCAATGTGGTAGCATGAGCAGTTCTTATATCTGCCCTTGTTATTTATTTTTGGACACAGGGTCTCACTATGAAGTTCAGGGTGGCCCTGAACTTGTGGTGATCCTCCTGCCTCAGCCTCCTGAGTGCTGGGATTATAAGCATGTGCTACTATGCCCAGCTCTACCCATGTTCTTAAGGCTGACCTCTTTGGGCAGTCCACACCAATCCCCCAGGCACCGACGGGGAGGTTCTAACAATTTGAAACATGAATTGGCCAAGCTTATGATGTGAAAAGCCTTGCAACATCTGACACTGAATGGGAGATGGGCTCCAGAGAACCAAAAAGGCCTGTTCTCTGCTCCCTCCATCATTCCATCATTTTCTCTTTCCTCCCCTTCCTCATGCCACCCTTTATCCCCAAATTATACTTTCTCTTATACCCCTCCTAGTTGTGTGCACTTGTCATCCCTAAGTAGCAGAGTCTTAGCTACACTGCATGCTGCGATGCTTCTGTGCTCTATGGTTCTATGGGCTTGGTCATCTGTCATGGGAGAGCATGGCACAGCAAGACTTAGGCAGGTCTATTAAGGGGCAATCATACATCTAAGTTATAACTCAAGGAGTGAAGGAAGGTGTGAAATGGACTTTAGTCTTTTGATATCTTACAATACCTCCTGAGAATTATGCAGGTTTGTTACTCTGTAATTTGTTAGGGAATAGAAGCAGCCCTCCTTAGGGCTCCAAATAAAGAAAAAGATGTAATTGGAAGCTAAAATCATTATCTTGAGGGTAGATAACATCAGGAAAAATAATTTGTGATCAAGTACATTCCTTGAGCTGTCTGCCCCTTCTTAAGGTGGGGATGGACAATGCTTTCCAGGTCTTTGTATCTTTGGGATAGCTCAACAGGTCTTTATATGTTTGGAACAGTTCAAGGAGAAAGACTTGACAGCAGAGAATTAAGAAACAAATGCAGGTAAGATCTTATTCTTACTTAATGATAGCTTGAGCAGGAAGACTTATTTTGTGTGTAGTACTGGGGATTGAACCCAGGGCCTTATGCATGAAGGCAAGCACTCTACCGCTGAGCTACATCCTCAGCAATCCTTTTTTGTTGGTACCGGGAATTGAATTCGGGTCCTTGTGCTTGCACAGCAGGTGACAAAACCACTGAGCTAAATCCCTGGCCTATCAGCAATACTTTTTTAAAAAAATCCTTTGGACTCATGTCTGTCCCTGGAGTCTCAAATATTTTGCTCCATGCTTCATAAAAATTATCTATTAATAGATTTAGGGCCTGGCAAGAAGGAATCCTCCTCCTGATTTTTCCCTAGCAGTTTTCCCTAAAATTTTGGGCAGGACATTTTACCTCTTTAAACTTTTCCATTTAGTAATAAAATGGAAATAATGCATGGCTTACAGGGTTGCTATGAAGATATATGTGAATCAAATATAATGGGTACTCAATAAATGGTAAAGATTATCTTTGACCTTCCATGGATTCTTCCACACTTAGATACATGAACCTCCCTAGTTCAGAATTTTTGTGTGTGTGTATGTGTGTGTGTGTGGTACCACCGGAGATTGAACTCAGGACCTCATGCTTGCAAGGCAGACACAGTGCCACTGAGCTAAATCCCTGGGCCCAGAAAAATTTTTTGATAAAAACTAACTTGGTTCTTCCTGTCCTGACTGGCTCAGTTTTCCTACCTGGAAAATGATATTTTAGATTAGCATCAACATGGCATTCCATTGCCAAAGCTAGCCTGAAGATAGATAGATAGATAGATTTTTTTTTTTTTTTTGGTACCGGGGATTGAACTCGGGTCCTTGTGCTTGCGCAGCAGGCAGCGAAACCACTGAGCTAAATCCTCAGCCCAGTTTTTTTGGTTTTTTTTTTTTTTTTTTTGGTACCGGGGATTGAACTCAGGTCCTTGTGCTTGTGCAGCAGGCAGCGAAACCACTGAGCTAAATCCCGGGCCCATGAAGATATATTTCATCCACATTAAGAATTAAAGAAAAAAAAAAGAATTAAAGAAAAAAACTGTGCCAATGTTTATTGGAAAATTAAGATGCTGGGCTAGAGATGTAACTCAGTGGTAGAGTGCTTGGCTAACATGTGCAAAGCCCAGGGTTCAATATCTACTATTGAAAAAAAAAGTTAAGATGTTGAAGATAGAAATCTGGTTTCCCATGTTTTTGCCTGGCAACAATCCACTAGGGCCAAAAAGAGGCTGCCTCTTAGGTAAGGATGCATTCTGTTTGCCAGCCCCCACCTGGCCGCCTTTGCTCATTTATGTAATGTATTTGGTCCTGTAGGTATTTCAGTTTGCAACCCTCTAATGGGAAGAGGAGAATAAAAAGAATTAAGATATATTATGTAGATGTACCAACTCCTCATAATGAATATAATCATTAGGTACTGCACACGTGTACTAATGAAAATACAGTGGCACCTCCATTCATGAATGCTTCTGTTTCCCCAAACCAGTTCTCAAAAGGATTTGACAAGACAGGTGTGGTGGCACCTGTGATCCCAGCAATTGGGAGGCTGAGGTAGGATGATTCCCCTGAGTTTGAGGTCAGCCTGAACTAATAGCAGGACCCTGGCTCAAAAAAAAAAAAGTGTTTGACAACATTTTGCTTCTGTTCACAAACTGCACATTGAGTTCCAAACACAACCATGGACATCTTCCCCCCCCACAAACACAAACATGGCCATCTTCCACAAAATCATAAAACAAATTAAGTTCATTAATCGAGATACCACTGTAATTACAAAAATTAATAAAAATCTGCAGCCCTCTGGATATCAGAAAACTATGTCTGGTACAGAATGGGCAATTATTGCATCAGTGAATCCCTCACCATCTCCCTTTATCACTCTTCTTTTTTTTTTTTTGGTACCAGGGATCGAACTCAGGACCTTGTGCTTGTGAGGCAGGAGTGGCGCCACTGAGCTAAATCCCTGACCCATTCTTATATCACTCTTACCTGGCCATGATAAGAAATCCAAGTTTGTGTTTATTTGTGGTAGTGATTGAATAGCTGGTTTTCAATTTAAGAAGTGAATTGAACAAGTCTTTTTTTTCAGTCAGGATAGGCTGGGTTAGGCTGAGATAACATAATCCCCAACTCTCAATGACTTACAACAACAGAAGTTTATTTCTTGCTTGCTCACACAAAGCTAACACAAAATGAAAATAATCTATTTTCACATGCACAGAGACACACATGAGTGCACAGGTATATATAACACATGAATTCATGCAAAAATGTATTTAGATCCTTGTCAGTTTGAATTGTACAACTTTGTGTTTCTTGGGGATTTAAATAGGTCCCAGGGCCCAAGGAGAGGAATCAGAATATCCACCTTTCGTCAAGGAAATGCCCATACTACAAAAGGAACTAAAAGCTAATGAAGTACCTGAAAGCTTAAAAGAACCTTAAAGCTTGCATTACTTTAAATTCCATGCAAAACCCCTAAGCAAAACAGCAAATATGTAGTGCCCATAGGTTTTCACCTCCCTACCCCATTGAGGCAGCCTCCACTTCTGGATTTTAGCTCAGGAGGGAGATGGACCCCAGATGCCCAATATGCAGAGAGACAGAGGGAGCTGGGCTGGATCGAAGAGAGGGTCCAACAGGCTGGAATCCTCTTCCTCCAGTGGGAGCTATAGGCAAGCAGGAAGTGGCAGGACCAGGTCACATCCATTTTCCCTCCTAGAAACTCCCTGTTTACCCCATCTGATCCAGGCCTCATGCTTGTTCACCTGGCTTATTGCAGACCCCCCTCCTTACTGATTTTCTCATTTCCAGTCTTCCTTTCTCCTGCCCTTTCATCAAACCCAACATACTTGACTTTCTAAAGTTCAGGGTCTCTGAATATATCCTTGTCTATTTCAGAAACAGTTCCCTTTTGTGCACAGTTGGTGGTCTAAACTCCTAAGCCCAGCATGACAGATCTCCATAGTCAGAAGCCTCTCTAGCCTCATCCCTCCCTATTTCAGAAGTTCCTCTAGGCCAATCCACCATTGGACAGGAGGACTCTCAGCCTTCTTCTCTGTCCTCCTGAGTGTTTCTCACTCTTCAGAGTTCCTCAGGTCTTGCCACTGATACTTGTGAAGGCACCTTGGTTCCCCAGCTAGAACGGAAGCTCCTGGAAGGCAGTTACCTCCTCCCAGGCCAGACCCTGGTTACTTCTTCATTCCCTCTCCAGACTTGAGCAGGTGGCTAGTGTCTGGAGAGAGAGAACTTGGGCTGGAGTCACGAGACCAGGCTCCACATTATCTTGATATATGTCCTTGGACGAGTCCCTGCCTCTCTAAAGGCTTCATTTTCCTTGACATCAAGACACTGGACATTGAGTACAAAACTGGTAAAAGTGATTCACTAAACAACCCTCAGCTGCAATCCCAGAGGCCAGGCTGAGCTTGGGGACTTGGACCTGAGGACATTCAGTTTGTTGACTTCCCATCTCCTTGGTTAGTCCTTGCTTACTCTAGTAAACATTTCCCAAACACCCTTATTGCATTCTCTCCTTTTAGGAAGCAAGTTACCTGGTGGGCCACAGGGGTGGAGTAGGGAGATCCAGGTGGGGTTAGGGGATACAGATGGGGTCAGTCGGGGAGCCTGGGATGAGTCTTTCAGACCTACAAGAGCCTCAGCTGCCTCCTGCTGCAGCTGCCACTCTGAGGGGGGAGATGTCCAGGCCAGACGAGAGGCTCCAGGGGCCTGCGACGGAAAGAGAAAAGCAGGCTGAGAACCACCATTTTCCCCCACCCTGCAAGTATTTCCTTCCATCTCTAGTTCCTTCACATTTCCTTGCTTTTCCCTTCCTCAGGCTCTCAACCTCCTCCCCGGATCCTGGATGCCACGTCTTTCCCAGGACCTGTGGCTGTAGCAGAAGAGAGTCCGGGGCACCACAAGACTGGAGTATCACAGTTGAGCATCTAGAAGCAAGGAGAGATGCCAGGAGGATTAAACACATAAACAGACATGAGGATTAGAGTTCTGAGAGCCTACTGGCCCACTGAGCTTTGTGGGCTTGGGTAAGTGTTATGCCTTGTCTTTGTTTTCTGTAAAATGAAAATCCCTGACCATTTTTAATTCCCAGACTACTATAAGGATTACAGGATATCACTAGTGTCAGTTTTTAAACATTTTTTGTTCTTTTGAGACAGGGTCTTGCTTTGTGGTACAGGTTGGCCTTCAACTCACTATGTAGCCCAGGCTGGCCTCAAACTCATGGCAATCCTCTTGCTTCAGCCTCCCAAGTGCTGGGATTACACCCAGCTTTTGGTGTCAGTTTTTTAAAAAATGGACAATTTACCTAGAGGGACTGGGATTACTGACCCTGCTCCACCAGATCTGGTTTCACTTCCCCAGTTCCGAAGTTCCTATGGAATTTGAAGGCCAGCATGGCCAACCTTCAAGAAGCTTTCTCTCCTGAGCCTCTGAGGATCTCACCATCATGATCCTCCATTTCAGTAGGCGATCCTATCCCATCTCATTTCTTTAAGAAGATCTAATAGCCATTATTTGTTGAAGGTAGGACCTGTGTTAGGTGTATTCCATATATTGTTAATTTTTACAAAAACCTTAAAGTAATAGCATCTCACATTTACTGTTAGAAAAATGGGCTCAGACATGTATACAAACTCATCTGAAGATTCATAAAGAGTAGCTCTATGAGTACTCTGCCTTGCCTATTAGTAGTCTGGGAACTTTTCTTCTTTATCATCTACTGTGATATTCATAAGTTAGGCTTGGAATAAACATACACATCTTTCTGTCTCTACTCACGTGTGTGGCAGGGTAGGGGGCCCTTGAGGCTCTCCAGAAGGAGGAGCTGTCAGTACTGAGCGAGATCCTGGGAAGGCTTGGAGGGACCCATGAGCGGGCAGCCGGAAGGAGGTACCAGGGTCAAAGCCTAAGGAAAATAAGAGAATGCAGAGTGTAGAGAGATCAGAGGTCACAGCTCTGCACTCTCCTCACCTGTGTCCTTTTCCTCTTTCCTTTCTGATACATTGCCAAACTGGCACTGAATGAATGCTGAATTCTCTTCCTACCAGCGAAGGGATGCAGAGGGACAGCAGGTTCTTGGCACAGCAAGTGACACACCACTGGAGGTGGCATGGAGAGGCCTGGAGGCAGCCAGTGTCCATGGCCCCAAGGGCTGGGAGGCATTGGAGTCCAAGGCAAAGGCAAGATGTCTGGGGGATGACTGAGCAGCAGAGGCCCACAGGAGTTCTCCTGTAAAGGTAGAGGGTGTAAGTTATTTAGGTACAAAGCTGGAGAAGAAAGAGATGTGTTCTAGGATGGGACAGGACCCCAAAAGTATGTGTGGGCCCTAAAATCCTACCTTCTCATTTTGCCTACGGAAGTGATTTGCCCAAGATTACATGGTGAATGGGGGTTGGGGCTAGAATCCAGATGTTGAGAGCACTGAGGAAGGGTCTGGGCAGGAGATAGGGTGGAAGCCACTCCCTCAGGGCATACGATCTCCTTACCTTCCTAGGAGGTGTCAGTGCCAGTGGGATTGCCCCATGGAGATTCTGAGGCAAAGGTGCTATATTCTCCTTTCCAGCTGTGAGGGACCAGGGAGAGCTCTAGTGAGCTTGCTTCTGGACCCATTTCCTCCTCAAACCCATCTGAGTTTTTATCTCTCCTCTCTCTCTCTCTCTCTCTCTCTCTCTCTCTCTCTCTCTCTCTCTCTTTCTCCTTTTTGAGACAGGGTCTCACTATGTAGTTCAGACTGGCCTTGAACTCACTATGTAGCCTAGGCTGGGCTTGAACTCATCATGATCCTCCTGCCTCAGCCTCCCAAGTGCTGGGGTAATAGGCATGTGCTACCACCCCCAGCTCTCTTTGACCATTTTTTTTGGGGGGGTACCAGGGATTGAATTTGGGTCCTTGTGCTTGCGAGGCAGGCAGTGGAACCACTGAGCTAAATCCCTGGCCCCTCTTTGACCATTTTCTACCTGAAGATTCCACTGCACCCTCCTAACACTTGATCTTTTTTCATAGTTGGGAGGCTGAAGCCCAGAGGTAGAAACACTTGCCCAAGGTAGCATCCCCATTTGGTGGCAGGACTGGGACTCTTTTCCCTATTTATGCTTTCTACATCCAAATCCCTGCCCCATCCGCAGCCAGAGATACTTACAGGGCACCCCTGATTGAGTAGGTTCTTTCTTAATATGGATAGGCACTTTGAGAGGGGTTGCCCCTCTCCTCACGAGTCCCTGAGCTAGCTGCCTCTTTAGCTGGGCCTCCTGCTGCCTGCGCAAAGCCACCTGAGCAGCCATGACTCGCCGGCGTTCCCTAAAAGAGCAAGTGAGTTGCAAGTCAAAAGCCAGCTGCCTTTTAGAAGGCCATCCCCCTCCCCTCCCTAGACCTCATACTCACAGGATGAGGACACATTTGTGACACTCGCAAGCCTGAAAGAGGCAGAGGCGCTTATGGCCCTTGAGATGGGCTGTGATGCCATGATTGCGGCACCGGGCACAAGTTGGAAAACGACTGACAGATCTTCTGGGGATAAGCTCTGTGCCCTGGGTGACTCTGGTCTCAATTCCTGAGCCAGAGTCAGTGGGGGAGTGGTTGGCAGCAGGTGTTTCACTGGGTTCCATGGATCTAGGGGCAGAGGTGGGAGGTTAGGATGGCTACGTGGGACCTTCTCGTAACCAGTTCTCCTGCTCGGGGGAGGCCACGTCTGTGTTTCTCCGTCCTGCCCTTTCTGGACCGTGCTCTCACCCTGGTTTCTCCTCTCTTCACCCCACAACCTCCTTCCTAAGAATCTCTCACTGATCCTCCTTCCTAAGAAATCTCTCTGTTCTTTCCTTTCTTAGGTGTTATTTCAATACAAACCGCATCCTCCTTTGCTCACCGGCACACTTTCCCATGATGAATCCCAGTTTGGGGCATACACATGCCCTCCCAGGCTTCTCTTGATGCCCATATCCTTTTCCCACAAACACTCTGTTCCATCTCAGTTTTCCCAGGCATTCTCTTCAACAACTGTCATCCTATCCTTTCGTATTTATCCCATTCCAGTAAAATATCCCACCAGCACTCTGTCATTGAGCTACATCCCCAGCCCCTTTTATGAAATTCTTAGTCCAATTCAGTCTGTTCCTCGCTCTCCTTCAGTTTGACTCTGTTTTTTGTTGGTTTTGTTTTGCTTTTTGCGGTACTGGGGATCGAACTCAGGACCTCAGGACCTTGCCCTTGCGAAGCAGGTGCAGCGCCACTGAGCTAAGTCCCCGGGCCAGTTTGATTCTGTTCTTACACCCTCAGTAATTACCTTATTCCCAGGGATTCCCTCCCCACTTTCAGCAGTTATTTTCATTCACTCCTTCATTCATTCTACAAACGTTTACTGAGTCCCTGCCGTGTGCCAGGCCCCGATCAAGGCCAAGGCCTCGCCTCAGGACGCCAATTTTCCCTTGCATGCGGTTGTACCCAGCGCCTATGAACCTGTACCCGTTTCCAACAATTAATCCCACACACCCCCTATGTAGCCATTACTGCCGAGGACCCCGCCAGGAGCTGCCCCCCCAAACACCCGCCTGCGCTCCAGGGTGTCAGGGAGGGGGCGGGGCATGAGGAATGCGCTGCGCCCCGGGTCCCGAGGGTGGGGGAACAGAGAGGGGCGCGAGGAGGCGAAGAGGACGCTTGGGGGGTGATGGGGGATCCCGTACAAGAGAGAAGGAGCAGTAGAGAGTGAGTGAGGAGGGCTCGAGTTCATGCCGCCACCCCGTGGTTACCACAGCCTCGAGCGGAGTCAGACTCAGCGGAGAGGAGGCGAAGGAAAGGAGAGACAAAGTGGTGAGAGGAACGGTCACTCTCGCGCTAGTTTTCCCGCGCCATCCTCCAAGGACCAATGAGCTTCAAGCACTGGCTGAGGGGCAACCAATGCGGTTTGAGACGGTATGCTGACGGCCCGCCCCTTCCTCCTTGTGCACTTCTACAGGAGGCAGAGTATCAGGCCAGCCAATAGCGCGTCGAGTTGAGTCTCGCGTCTCTTACCCTCCCCCATCATGGCTGGCATTTCCAGACTATTCTTTTTCAGGAGAAATGGCCATTGGGGCGTCGAGGAGTACTGTCTCCAGGACCCAGGCGGGCCCCGCCCGACCCCCCACCCCCCGAACGGCAGGCTCCGCCTCACCTCGAGAGCGAGAGCGTTGCAGAGCATCTGCGCATGCGCCGTCATCCCCGTCTCTCGCCTGTGCTCTCAGCTTCACTTCGAAGGCTGTTGTGTCCTCGCTGCTCTCTGCTCTCCTCCTTCCTTCATTCCCGGGCTGCCCTTCTCTTTTGCGTTCCCCTCCCTTTAATTTCCGTGTTTCTTCTCAGCACTCATTTTCCCAAGTTGCACCCGTTTTCTTGTGTCCTGCCTGTCTGCCTTGCCCTCTTTCGGACCCCATTCCCTTGATAGTCTGGCTCCAGAGTCATCTGTAGTTTTTCTGCCTTTGCGGCCCTCTACACCTTCTGTGTACCTCTCCTTCAGGGATTTCATTTTTCTCAGGCCGCCCCTCTGTAACGGGCGCCTTCTCTACATCTCCCTGAAGACCCCCTCTTGTCTTCCCTTCCCATCCTCGCCGCGTGGTCCCATTTTCTCTGTGCATCCGGGGATATCGGGATGCGGAAGAGGCGCGACCTGGCTCCTCCTCTCTTGTTCACTCTCTGACTCCCCCTCTCCTGTCTTTGTGCCCCGCGCCTCATTTTCTTGCCCCTTTGCAGGGCTCTCCGCTGGTTCTGTCTCCGTGCAAAGTGCCATCCCATCAGGTTACCCTTCCTCCCCCTCTGTAGCTTTGTCTGTTGTAGTGGTGGCGTCCCCTCTGACCACCTCATCATTGTTCCTTAGGATTTCAAGTCTTTTCTGCTTGGGTCTCTGTTTGTGCTCACGTTGTTGAGTCCTCTCGTTTTGCACCCCAGGCTGGTGTGTGCAGTCTCCTCTGATTTCCCCAACCCCTCTGCCATCCTTTGTCAGCCTTAATTTCCCTTTCCCATGTCCCATCTTTTCTGTGGGCTTTGACTCCTTTGATTGGCACAGATTTCGGGGTTACAGACCTGTGTGTCTGTGGCATTCCAGCCTGAAAAAGGTGACAGAAGTGACTTCCAGCTGGACTGCTGTGCAGGAGAGCTGTTCTAGATTAACGTTGGAAAGGTTGTTTGGAGCCAATCTGAAATCTGGGTGTGGTGAGGTGGATGGGTGGGGATTTAAATGCCAGTTTAAAAGACTGAATCTGATCTTTTAAGTGGGGAGGGAGGAGGGAGAGAGGAAATAACACAGAGTTTAGCATTTGTTGCCACTTTATATTAATAATCTCATTTCCCTTTACAGTGATGAGCTGTACTAATACATTTTATTTTTTCACTGCTCCAGGCTTTTTTTTTTTTATTAGTACATGATTGCAGTAATAATGTTTACATTCCTTATTTGGAGTTGGTACATATATATAACACAGCTTAATTCCTTTTTTCATCCCCTTTCCCTCCTTCCCTCCGTCCTTCCATCTCTTGAGCCCCTTTCTATTAGAAATACATTAATGAGAAAGCAGGCTCAGAGTTCAACAAATTGCACAAGATTGCACAGCTAGTAAGTGGAGGATAAAGATTGCAGATTTACTCTCTGAGTGCAAGGCCTATAAACTTTGTATCCCTTCCTACATTGTTTTGGTTATTTCCATTAATCCTTACTCCTCGACTTCATTCTTTAACTTTTCCATAGTCAGTTATTCTGTATGTCTTTTGGTTTGTGTGTATTCTTCCGAGATTTAAAAAATTAGTATTTTTGTGGGATTGAACCCAGGGCCTCATGCATACTAGGCAAGCTACATCCTAAGCTACATCCTTAGCCTTTTCTCTTCTGAGACAGAGTCTTGCTAAGTTGCCCAGTCTGGCCTTGAACTTTTGATTCTCCTGCTTCAGTCTCCCTTGCAGCTGGGATTACATGTATGTGTCACTACTCCCAGCTATATGTGAGTTTTTAGTTTGTAGATGTGATATGATGTTATTTACTATTTAATCAGCACTGTACTTTTACGGTCCGTCCAGGTACACATGTGCACATCTAATTGGTTGCTTTTACCTGCTTTGTGATATGGTGTGGCAGGCATCCCTTGGATGTTATGCATTCACTCAGTTTCAGGAAGGAATGGTCTGTTGCCTCAACTCGCCATCACATTAATACTGCAGCCTCAGACACCTGATGTGGATATTTTCATTATGTATACCGAGGATATATCACAAATGAGTGTTTATAAACCTAATTTGACTAAATATTGTCAGGCTTCTCCCTACAATGCAATGTTGGGCCTGAGATCAGACCTCTCAACTCCTCTGTTCAATCAGGGTCTAGAAAAGATTCCTATCCACCATCACCCCAGTTACCTCATGAGTAGTGGTAAGGAAGGGTCTCTTTGTACCCACATTCCTCCCAACACTTGTCCTTTTCCAGTTTTCTTGTTATTGGCAGTGGCAGACTGAGAAATGTATAACAAGGACACATCTCAGGATTGGTGCATTTCCTTGATTATTATTGGGTTTGAGTGCCTCTCTTCACATGCTTGGCCCATTTTTCCTGTTGACTTGCAGGAGATCCTTGGCCATTGTTGTTGGTTTAAGATGTTACATATATTCTTATGTCAACTTTGGCATTTTATATTGAGTTTAACCACTTTGTCTAGGTTTTCAAATTTATAGGCAGAATTTTTTTCCTCCCTGGTACTGGGGATTGAACTCAAGACCTTGCTCTTGCGAGGCAGGCTCGGTACCACTGAGCTAAATCCCCACCCCCAACCCCCTTTTTGTACCAGGAATTGAGTTCAGGACCTTGCACTTGCCACGGCCACTTTTATTTATAACACATCTGCCACCTGTTACTTCCCAGTTTTCATTCTGTATTTTATTTGCATCTTCTTTCTTTTTCTTTTTCTTTTTTTTTGGTACTGGGGATCGAACTCGGGTTCTTGCACTTGCCAGGCAGGTGGCGGAACCACTGAGCTAAATCCCTGGCCCTTGCATCTTCTTTCTTGAGCTGAATTACCAAAGAAGTATCTTATTAATCTTTTCAAAGAATGAATGTTATCACGTCTCAGCCTTTTGGTTAAGACCAAGTGTAGAACGAATGTCAGATTTTTTTTTAGTGTTTGGGATCAAACCCAGAGCCTTGTGTATGCTAAGTGAGGACTCTGCCATTGAGCTATCTCTCCAGCCCAAAGTTTTTTTGTTTTTTTTTTTGGTACCGGGATCGAACTTGGGACCTTGTGCTTGCGAGGCAGGCGGTGGAACCACTGAGCTAAATCCCCGGCCCTTTTGTTTTTGTTTTTTAAATAATGTTGTTTACTATTTCATTGCTGTTCTTTTTATTTCCATTCTTTTTGGGGTGTTTGCTTTGTTGTTTACTATATAATTTCTTGAGCCAATTCCTAAACATACTTACTTTTCAATGCTTCTTGCTTCCTGATAAATGTTTTAAAAGTATAAATTCACGTATACCATGTGTGGTGATGCCTCCCTATAATCTCAGCACAGAGAGAAGCTGGGGCAGCAGGGCCACAAGTTCAGGTCCCACCCGGGCAGTGGTAAAGCACCCCTGGGTTTCATTCCCAGTACTGCAAAAAAAAAAAAAAAGTATGTTTACTTCTAAATACTACTTTAGTTGTGTCCCATATTTTGATGTGTAGTTTAAAAAAACTTTTGATTTTGAAGTGATTATTGGCTCATGGAAAGTTGCAAAAAGAATGCAGAGTCCCTTAACCACTTCTTCAGCTTCCGCACAAGGATATCTCATATAACTTTAACATATGAGCAGGATGATAAGATTAACCAGAGATCTGTTTTCAACAGATTTTATAAGCACATGTGTGTGTGTGTGTGGGGGGGATTTATTATTCAGTTCTACACTTGATCTTACCCAAAAGGCCGAGAAGCGATATTATTCAGTTCTAAATATTGTTAAATTGTTTTATTCAAGCAAAAGGTACTTAGTAATATACTAATTAACTTTCACACACAGATATTTTAAGGATTCATTTGCTATTGTGATCTTATTACATCTGGCTAGAGAACAGCTGTATAATCCTGGCCCTTTGGATGAACGTTGTGGCCAGTGAGTGGACCTAGGTGGGAGAATGAGAGCCATGCTTTGAGAAGCCGATGTGCTGGATGCGGCTTAGATTGGAGAGAGATGAGAAGTTTGTGTCCTGAAGGTGTCAAGGGAGTCTGTCCCACAGCCACTGACACAATAAACTTTCTGCTTCAGAAACAGTGACCAAGAGTCAGGTGGACAGAAAACTCAGGGACTGACAAGAACCAAACTTGGGACCCAGATTAAAACTAGTTCCAGACTGACTTCTTGCATCCAGGACCCAGACACAGAACCATGAGACCTCAGCATTTGCGACCTATGCAGCTGCTCTGCCTCCTATGGGCCATCACCTTTTTGCCTCGTATGTTCTGTGGGGCTGGATCCTTTGTCACTGGGGGAAGGAGGGCTGGGTATCTGGGTTCTTCAGGGGAGCTGAGCTCCTGGTTTACAGTTCAGGGCTAAGAAGGTGATGTGTGTGGGGGTTAAATGAGCAGGAAAGCATTCTCTTTATTATTATTATTTTTTTATTTTTTGGTACCGGGGATCGAACTTGGGTCCTTGTGCTTGCACAGCAGGCGGCGAAACCACTGAGCTAAATCCCCAGCGGCATTCTCTTTTGTAGAGGCTGGAGCTCTTTTGTGCTATGAAGCAACAGCCTCACTCTTCAGAGGAGTTAACTTCCATTACTGGCGCTGGCTTCTGATGAGGAGCATGGTGTGTGAGCTGAGAGAGGGCTGTGAGGAGACACTAGTGCTGATTGAGACAGGTAAAGTGGGGATAGGGTTTGATGTACTTTGTTTTGCTCACTCATCTGACCCCAGCTGCACTTTCAGTACCCAGGGCTAGAGTTCCATATGTTTACTTCACTCTATGTTTGGAAAATGTTGGGACCCTGGAAGAGCAGGGTAGGCCTCAGTTTATACTGTGGGCTGGGTAAGAGGGCAGAATGGAAGTGGGCAGATCACTGGAGGAAGGGCTAATGAGGAGGGAAAAGGGTGGGGCACAAAGGAGAGAGTAGTATAGCGGCTCCTGCAGAGCAAGGGATGAGGAGACACAGATGGAGACCCCAGCAGCTGAGTAAGCAGACACGGAGGGTAAGCAAAGCTGGCAGGATCAGGGAGGGTATAGGAAGCACAGAGTGGAAGGGATTGACTCTGGTGAGCCCCATGTCACTGATCACAAATCCTCTGCTCCTCAGGGACCAATGAGGGAGTTGTGGGTTTCAAAGGCTGCAGCTCAGCCTTATCTTACTCTCCACAAGTCTCCTACCTTGTTCCTCCACCTGGAGTGTCCATTGCCTCCTACAGCCGCGTCTGTCGAACCTATCTCTGCAACAACCTCACCACCCTGCAGCCGTTTGTGAACCTCAAGGCCAACGCTCCTAAGTCTGTACCATCTTCTTTCCATAATTGCCCATCCTGTGTGGGCGAGCACAGCAAGGAATGTCTTCCAAATTTTGTCACCAGAGAGACTTGCCCTAACAGTGCCCTTGCATGTTATGGTTCCACCTTAAAATTTCGGGCAGGTGAGAGGAGAGAAACTTTATCTGATGCCTACTCTATGCTAGGTGCTACCTAGTGCCTTCATATATCTAAAAGAAGCTGGTGGGTTTTGGAGATGGGAACAGGGGTGCAGGGGACCAGACACATGAATGCCAAGGAAAGGCTAAGGCTGCTGGTGCCCGAGGGCAGGTGTTCTGGTTTATTAGAGGCCTCTGGGAAGAGGGAAGGACTCTTGAATCTTTCAAGTGTCTCTGATCCTTCCCTTTCTTCCTTATAGGGTTACTCAATACCACTTTCCTCCTCCTGGGCTGTGCTCCTGACTCTGTAAAGCTTTTAGCAAATTTTCAGCATATTGGAAGCATCCGAGTAACTGAGGTCCTAAACGTCCTAGAGAAGTCCCAGATTGTTGGTGCAGGGCCCTCCAGTCGAGGTTCTTCTTGGGGCATCCTCTTAGGTCTCCAGGTTGTCTTCAGGGACTGATATCCACCTGGACTAGACAAACACTCAGACTTTGTCACATAACCAAATAAAGTTGTAGAGTTACATTTATACTTTGTCCTGTGGTCTTTGAGAGTGTGGAGGTGTGGAAAGAATAAGGAAGGGCAAGCATGTCCAGGGAGTGACTCAGGGGCAGAAGGATCTGACAAAATGGTAGTGTTATATCCAACAGCCAAGAACTATCTTTCAGGAATGAAGGGAACATAAGGATATCCTCTGATGAAGTGAGATTAAGACAATCTCCTGCTGTCCTTAAAGAATGGCCAAAGGGTCAGGTGTGGTGATACGTGCCTGTAAAACCAGCAATCTGGGAGGCTGAAGCAGGAGAATTGAAAGCTTGAACCCAGCCTGGGCAATTTAGACTTAGTGAGACCCTATTTCAAAATTTAAAAACACCAAAAAACCAACAAAAATGGGTTGACAATGTGGCTCAGTGAGAAGGCCCTGGATTCAAGCTAAAGGAGAAAATGGCTAAAGGCAGCTCTCCAAATACACTGTCATTATCCATGAGTTTCTGTTTGTTTGTTTTTTGGTACCGGGGATTGAACTTGGGTCCTTGCACTTACGCAGCAGGTGGCAAAACCACTGAGCTAAATCCCTGGCCCTTCCATGAGTTTCTGTAATCATAGTGTGTCACTGATAAAAACGTATAATAACACTTAATATGATGCTCAAGGCATAGAGAGGAAAAATTTTAAGACAATTATATTTTGAGCATTTTCTTATATTTATTAATTTATACAGCTTTATTGGGATATAACTCACATACCATAAAAGTCACCTATTTTAAGTGTCTGACTCAATGATTTTTAGTACATCTACAAAATTGTACAACTACTATTGAAATCAATTTTGAAACATTTTTTCAACCTCCGAAAAAACTCTATATCCCTAGTCACCCTTATTTCCTCCAAATCCCCACAGCTATAGGCAACCACTAGTCTATTTTCTGTCCCTACATATTTGGAAATTTTGGATATGTTGAGTCATATATAATTAAATTATACCATATGTGGGGTTTTTTGGGGGGTTACCAGGGATCGAACTCGGGACCTTGTGCTTGCGAGGCAGGCAGTGGCACCACTGAGCTAAATCCCTGGCCCCATATGTGGTTTTTTTGTAACTGATTTCTTTCACTTACTATCATGTTTTCAGGGTTAATCCATATTGCAGCCTGTATCAATATTTTTTTCCTTTTAATGCTGACTAGTGTTTCACTGTATTGATACAACACCTTTTCAGCTTTCTGGGGACTCAGGGAGCAGGATGCTCTGGGCAGGGGGTGCTTCAGGTTGGGTGATGGATGTGGTTTCAAAGACTAGCATGAGGGGTCAGAAGTTAATTGAAAAGTTTCCACCCTATATAGGCAGAGGCAGTGACAAGTGTCTCAGGGGAGTTTATTTTTAAAACTTAGGTTTTTGTTTTGCAGTGGTGAGGGTTGGATTGAACCCAGGGCCTTGGCCATGTTAGGCAAGCTCTATGCTCTTGAGCTAAATCCCAGCCCCTGTGTCTAGGGACAGAGACCATGAGGCTGGTGCAGGCTTCAGCTTCCATGAGACCATACTTGTGGTGTAGCAGTCTGCCTCACAGAGAATGTGGTGAATGTGCCAACCACCTTAACTCAGACATGTGTGGAGGATCACTATATGTAAATTAGATGAGACTCAGATCATCCCTGGAATAACCTTCCACTTGTGTCTTTCTTTGGCAAAATAGAAAAGCGCTGTTTATCCAGCAGCGAACTAGTGAAAGGGGGTGAGCTGTGAGCTCCCAGCTCTTTCATTCCTAAAGGTGGGCATTATCACAAGGAGAAAGTAGGCAGTTGTGCTGGAGTGTGATGTGTCCCTCCTTCTGGCCTCCCATGCAGGACCTGGAGAGTGCTGTGGACAAGCGACACCACTGTCAGGATGACCCAAATCCAGGTGTCCATATGTCGTTTTCAGTGAAAGAAGATGACAACACCGCCTTGAGACATGTGGTGGACAGAACAAGTTTCCTTTAAAGATGCCCCTGTATTCATTTGCAGAATCTGTGAATGTGTTCTCTGGTAAAAGACACTTTACAGATTACAGCAGGGTCATGAATCTGGGAGATTCTTGTGGCTTTTCCAGGTGGGTCTGAGGTAATCACAGAGTCCTTTCTTAGAAGAGAGAGGGAGGAGGGAGAAGAGCAGGACGTGTGAGGGTGAACAGAGAGGGGCTTCAAGAGGCCACACAGCTAGCTTAAAAGGTGGGGAAAGGGGCTACTGCCTAAGAGAGCAGGTGGCTGCCAGAGGCTGGCAAAGGTGAGGAATGTCTGTCCCTTGGGGCCTCAAGAAACAATACAGCCATATGGACATATTGTTTTATGCCACTGTATTTGTGGCAATTTGTCAAAGTTTCAGTAGGAACCTAATGGAAGAGCAGTTACCTTGTTTAATCTGACATTATGTGCATGTGGGATAAGGATTTACTAGAGCTAAATCATGATGGGGAACTCTGCGGGTTGTTTTCCTACTTCCTCCTCTTTATTCAGCTCCTTTCCAGGTGACATTTTGTGGGTCCTTCAATCTCCCTGGAAGCTCCTCCTCTCTGGGGGAGAGGGTCCTTGGTCTGGCCCTTCCGGACCTCAGGGCAGTCCACCTAGGTCTTCAGAGTCCCAGGAGGCCCCCTACCCTCTGACTCCGAACCACACCCAGGATCTAGGGTCCTAGGGAGAATCATCCCTTTGACCCCTAATGAAAGCCTCTAAGGAAGCTAAGAAGCCACATCTGATGTGGGGTTGATCCTGCAGTAAATGTTCACATCAGGGTTTAGTAATTCTTATAAAAAGAACCAAGGGGCTCCTGAGTGTCTCCCAGGCCTTGGCTCAGCCAGAGCTGCTGTGTGCTGAGGCCTGGCTATGCTTAGATGCTCAGGGGCCCTTTTACCAGTCCCCTCTCTTCTCTGATCACCACCCTGATCCCATTTCCCGGATCTCAAAGCAGAGCCAGTATGGGGTGGAGACAGGCCTCAGTCCCTCTTAGTTCTGTGGGACCAGAATGTTCATACCCCACATTCACCTCGTAGATAGAAGCAGCAGGGCAGGATGGCGCTGGGGAGGTCGGCCTGGTGGGCAAGAGAAAGCAGGTGTCAGGGAACAGGGAAGAATGATCACGGAGGCCAAGGCCCCACTGAGCAGGTGCTGGGCTGAGCCTGGAATGTTCTGGTCTCTGAGAGGCCAGAGCTTGCATCCCTGTGTCCACTCTTTCCCTTCTCCCTCAGGAAGGAGCAGCTTGGATTCCTGAGCACCAGCTTGCATGCTGGGAGTGACACCTGGTTCCTGTCCTGGCTGTGCTGGTCCTGTATCCTCATTATCCTGGGACCCCTGACTGATGCTCACTGTGCACCTGCTGGACTCCAGGGCCTCCTCAGCCAGACAGAGAGACCAGGGTGGACTCAGGAGAGGACAAGGCTGCTCTTGGCCCTGAGGAGGCCCCAGCACATGGTCAGGGCTGGGCTAACCTTGTCCTGGCCATGTGGAGGAGGGCAGGGCTGACAGAGCCCCTGCCCTGAGCCTGCACAGCTTCAGCCCTGTGAAGCGGGTGGGGTGGGCTTACCAGGGAGGCAGGACTTTCAGAGGGTCTGTGGCCTGGAGATAGAGACAGGAGTTAGCAGGAGGGTAGAGGAGGCCTGGGCCCCTCCTGCAGGAGGCCTGGGGGTCCTCAGCTTTCAGGGCGTCAGGGTAGATGGAGTATTTTCCAGACAGAGGCCCTTGAGACATTTTGAAGCAAGAGAGCAAGTGAAGCCCAGGAGGTGACCATGACCTGGATCCCACAGGTCCAGGCTGACCTGGCAGTTGAGGTCCCCTGTGCAGAGGGAAGAGGCCTGCTGGGGAAGGGCCTGACCCCAGTGATGACTATAGGAGTGGACACTGGAGGGCAGGCCTGAGCTCCCAGCCACACCTAGGCTGAAGGGGCTTCACCTGGGGTGGACACTTGGGGCTGGTGCTCTTAGAGCTTGTGTTGGACACTGGATCTAAGAAAGGCCAAACTTATTCATGAGAATGCAGGGAGAGGTCGCAGCATCATGGCCAGAGAGGGAATATGGAGGAGTCTCTTTTCTGCTGAGAGGGTAGAGACCTCCTTTCTCCACTAGTTGGTGGGGTGAGGGGAGGGTGTCCCAGGAGAGGGCCAGCTGAGGAAAGGCCCTAGGCAGGCACTTCTGACTTGGGCCTGAAGGAAGTTGCTTCAGGAGGGCAGTCATCCAGGGACACAGGAATGGGACTGAGGACCATGGAAAGGAATCAACCAATGAAGCTTTGCCTGAGTGGACAGGTCCTAGCCCTGGGAGGGAGAGCAAGGCTAGCCATGTGGACAGGACCTGGGGAGCCTCAGGCATCTTGATTCTCCTTATTTTGGTGTCTTGGCTGTGGCCAGAGCCTTTGATCAGGCCAGGAGGTGCCGAAATGTGACAATAGCTCTGACATCTCTATTTATCTACCTCAGCAAGAGTCAAAGAGAACCTCCCAGGATACACTGCACTGTCTGGGCCCTGGCACTCCCATCTCGCATACTGGGGCCATGGGTAATGCGGCAGCCTTGGGGACTTCTGACCCTGGCCAGACTGTGGCGGCTCTTACACTTGCCCTGTGTAACCTTGGCCAGGTCCACTCCTCAGATGCCAAGTTGTGACCCCTCCCAGCCGGGTGAGATGGCTGGAATAAACAGCAGGAGGTACTGATTTCTGAGCGCTGACCACCTCCCAGAGAGACTGCAGGTTTGCAGTGTGGGAACGAGGGCCGTGCTGAGGGTGCACATCTCTAGTTATGCCCGATTTATTTTATTGATGTAAAAACTGTTGAGGAAGCAGCTGCGGGTCAGAGCTGGTGATGGAGGAGCTGAGTGGAGTGAGAGGGAAGGGTTGGTGAGAAGTCAGGAGATCAGTCTTGGTACCTTGCAGCTCTTGTGAAGAGCAGGGAAAGCCCCTGGGTGATGACAAGAGCCACCCTAACCAAGACCCCGGCCACTATACCAGCAATGACCCCTGCAGGGAGAACTGGGGTATTTTCTTCTGCTGAAAGACCCAGTATGTTACAGGGGAAGCCTTGAGGGTCTGTGCAGGGAGCGGCCCAGTGAGGGTTGAAGGAAACAGCACCAAGGTCCGAGTGGTTTGCTGTTTTCCTCATCATGTTCTCCTGCCTCTATCACTGGCAGCTGTTGCTTCATTTTCTGTTTTGAAATCCTGTGGTTTCTCTAATTTATACACTCCTACCTGTAGCCTGTACCACACCCTATTCCTGTTTCTTTAATGCTTTTTCTTTTATTTTTTTCTTTTTCATCACGTGACAGTCTCAGAGTGCTGATTAGTAGTAATGATAGTGACTCTTTTCAGGAGCTTTTATGTGTCAGGAGTAGTAGGAAATACTTACATTTCATTGATCTTCCCATCCCCAAGAGGGGGGAGATATCACCCCACTATGAAGATTTAGAATCTGGCACCTAAATTCTTTTTTTTTAGTTCATTTATTGGTACGTTTTAGGTATACAATTCGTTTACATTTATCATTGGGTGTTTGTACCTGTGCATGATGTATCTTGGTTCTTATTTTTTTTCCCCCATTACCTGTGCTCCCTTC